ACCCCCTCTTCCTCCCTTTCTTCTTCTCCCTGTTCCTCTTCTTTCCTCTTCTTCTCCCTGTCCCTCTCACTCTCCTCCCCCCCTCCCTCTCTCTCCTTTACCTATCCCGCCCCCTCTTCTTCTCTTTTCTCTCCTCCTCTTTCCTCCCTCTCTTCTTTCTCCCTGCCCCTCTCACTCTCCTCCCCCTCTCTCTCCCTCTCCCTTTGCCTATCCCGCCCCCTCTTCTTCTCTTTCTCTCCTCCTCTTCCTCACTCTCTTCTTTTCCCTGTTCCTCTTCTTTCCTCTTCTTCTCCCTGTTCCTCTTCTTCCCTCTTCTCTCCCTCTTCTTCCCTCTTCTTCTCCCTGCCCCTCTCACTCTCCCTCTCGCTCTCCAAACCAACACCCACTCAAGACACACAGAGCCACGGGCAAGGATTCTCTACCGCGTTCGAACGAGTAGGAGACACGGTTCACAGGCGCGCGCGAGATGCTAAACCGAAGTCCGACGGATGCTAACCGGATGAAGCTGCCGACGCCCTCCCCCCTATCCTCCCTCCCCCTCCCTCCACCCCCCACCCCCCCACACACCGGATGCGTTTCGCTCGCGTTAAATTGTTGCCGAAGACTTATAAAAAGGGCGAATGCAGGGCTGCGAGGCCGTAGTGTTCTTCGAGAGGCTGGCGAGGCGCGAGGTAGGTTGGCGGCTTCGGTTTCGTTCTTGAGGCTTCGAAGCTTCGAGACACTGGCGTGTGCGAATTTGCCGGAACGTTTTTTCTGATTTTGCTTACGTTTACACGGAAACATTTGCAAGCGCATGGACGTTCATGGAAACACAGGTACACACGCACTTACATATGCACACAAAAACATACATACATACACATGCACAAACTATATGACATTATATATTATAATATATAAATATATATATATATATATATATATATATATATATAATATATATATATATATATATATATATATATGTACAAGTATATACATATATACATATATGTATATATATACATACATATCTGTATATATACATACATACATACATATATATATATATATATATATATATATATATATATAATATATAATATATATAATATATTATATATATACATACATACATGTGTATATGTATATATATGCATATATTATATATATATATGTATACACACCCACACACATACACACACAGGTACGCGCGCCCACCCACACCCACACACACCCGCACAGGCATCCCCCTACACATGACCTACTTTGCCAGCGTTTCCATTTCATTCCAGGAAAAGTCTTCAGTTCATCGAAACTCCGAGAAGCCATTATGTTGACCCGAATCCTTCTGCTGTGCCTCGCCTGTGTCGTCTGCGGCCAGGACGACTTCTTCGATAGATATGGATACACAAAGGTAAAGATTTCATTGCAAGTTTTCTGTGACATGGCGCTTTTTTGAATGTCATTGTTGTGGTATTACTGCCAAACCTTACTCTACAACTACATTTATCATTCTCTTGTTCTACTTGTAATATTACTAGTAATATTGTTTCTACCCCTGCTATTTTTACAACTGTCACTGCTACTACTACTACTAATAGTGCTTTTCTACAACTGCCTACTACAACTGTTATATCTACTACAGCCACTGCTACTATTCTTTATTACTACTTTTATTATCATTACTACTGCTACTACTAAATCTGCTATATATGATACGGACGTTGCTACTGTTACTGCTACAACAACTATTTCTGCTACTGCAACAACAACAATAACAACAGTAACAACTACTATTACAAATGATACTACTACCTACTACTGCAATTACTATTACTACCACTACCACTGGAGTTAATGCAACTATTGCTAATATTACCACTACTCCTACTACTACAATTACTCTTATAACTACCTTTGTTTTTACTGCAATTAACGTTGTGACTACTACTACAGTTACTCTTATAACTATAACTCATAACTACCTTTGTTTTTACTTTGTTTTAAAACCAATTATCATCAGTAACCAAAAACCGAAACACAAGCAACCACTTCCAGCTATTTAAAACAAAGAAAAAGAAAAAGAAAGAAAAGTCCGACAAACTCACGTCTCCCACAGAAGCCATTTCTTACAACAACCCTCCTTTGCAACATCCATCTCTATCTTGCAATAAGTCTAGCTGATAAATTGCACTTTGCCAGATTATGCAAAATTGCTTCGGTGCTTCTGTCTACCAAGAGCATCTCCAGACCTTGCTTGAAGCCCAAAGAGGATGCTCTGGAAGATCTTTTGCCGTGATGCACAGACCTTCCTTTTCGTACAACAATGTGCAGGTGAGTGACGGGGTATGTAGAGAGAGAGAGAGAAGGAAAGAGAGAGAGAGAGAGAGAGAAGAGAGAAGAAGAGAGAGAGAGAGAGAGAGAGAGAGAGAAGAGAGAGAAGAAAGAGAGAGTGAGAGATGAGAGAGTGAGAGTGAGAGAGTGAGAGTGAGAGAGTGAGAGAGTGAGAGAGTGAGAG